TGCTGGATCCTGTTGTTCTTCAGCTCCTTTTTAAAGTTAAATATTCTTAACCCCTTTTTCCACACACCCACCACCGCATCTTTAAACAGCCTCTGGGTTTCACCAGGGAGGGGAAGTTTACCGCAGATGGAAGACAGTCACATGATTTCTGTTGGGGTTTTGCTTTTATGCTTTTCAGTTGATATGCCGCAGAGGCTACGCTAACATAATGGACAGAACCAACTGGTGATGCATTTAGGTTTTATTCCTGCTACCCACTGGAATGTTTGGGTAGTGCAGTTTTCTTACAACTTTCTCTTACCTCATTAGGCTAATCTGAAATGGTTCTAAATCTTAAATAAAGCAACACACAGGTTTAAACATTAAGAACATTTTCTGAACGATGACGCCCAGTGAACCCTGGCCATCGTCTAATCGGAGTCCTTCAGCCAGATCAACCTTCAGCTAGATCCCACTGACTCCGTGGAGCTGGATTATCCAATTTCAAACTTCTAATCAACTTCATCGCAGTCATAATGATCCTACTTTACGTTAACAAAAACAACACAACTGTATGGAGTTCAGCTGTATTAAGGTCTAAGATATTCCGACATATATTTAAAAAATGCATGGTTAATTGTAAAATGTAATTGTAAAAACATACTCATTTTGTGCAGTTCTTTCCCGCTGCGGGACGCCATTTCTCTTCTCACTGAATCAGTTCACAAAGCATTCTGGGAATTCACTCATTCCCAAGTCAGCTCCTGACCTCACTCGGTCTGAAGGGATGATTTTAAGGGTTGAAGGGCACTTTGCCCTAGCTCTTCTAACTTTTGGAACACATTAACCTTAAACGTGAACGAGCAAAACCAGCTAGGGTCCAAAACCGAGTGCTAGTGAGAGAAGTGGGACTGGGCCATTAGAAATTCAAAGTTCTTGTGATTTCCTTTACTCAGCCTTCTTCTTCATGGATTTCAGTGGATGCTGGAGATTCATCTGAGCTTTTAGTCCTGTTCATGTTGAGCCCACTGGTTTACAGCTTTACCATCATACATAAGGCAGCTATATGTTTTATAAACAGTATCCATCCAGCCCTTGGATATCAATATATGACTAAAGTTGCAGCTCATCTCTTTCAATCTGCTTTCAGGATGGTTGCTGGAAAGGCTGAGCCAGCAATGCCAGGCAGACTCTATGTGCATCCAGATTCCCCGGCAACAGGAGCTCATTGGATGCGGCAGCTGGTGTCTTTTCAGAAGCTAAAGCTAACAAATAATCACCTGGACCCGTTTGGGCATGTGAGTACCTACTGAATACCATTACAGTCTTAACATCTATCCATTTGTCTGTCTATCTGTCT